CATTATCTAAGCGTGTGGCATCAAAGCATTGCTACACGCTGTTGGCTACAAAAGTAATGTATATGTTGGGTACAAACATAATATTATACATACAACATACACGATACACATACAACATACATAATATTATACAGTTGGGGGAATTCCATGTCTGGGAGGTTATTTGTCATGAACATTTCCCTTTACCCTCTTAGCAACACATCCTGGTTTGGCTATATTCAAGAGGTGGGCGTGTACACAAGCCAGTGATTAACCGACAGTTGACTTCCCAGGTTGAGAGCAGTATAGGTTGTTGGACTAGGGATTGTGAGGCTACCTTTTCAAGGACTTTATTACTTTGTCAATTCTCGGCTGCCAGGCAGTAGGTCCTAGTTTTTGCTTTTCCTGTGCCCTTTCCTTTTCAATTTCCTTCCTTTCTTTTACTATCTCTTATCCTTACTAGACAGCGTGCTGCCAGTGTTCTTGTGTCCCTTTGGCAGTTTCCAGGCACCTAGGGAATTTCACTCTTGCACTCCCCGAAATGTGTGTCCCACTTCCGCATTCGAGCAGTATTTAGTGTTTTTGTTAGGGCAGTCCGTGGCTAAGTGGGTATATTTATAGCAGTTCCAGCAAGGCGTGATGGGAAAAAATTCTTCCTGTTCAACTTGGTTGTTACCTATATGTAATGGGACAACTGGCCGCCGCCATCTGGCCGTCACTGACTGGGGTAAACTGCAAACGCCTAATTTTGCGCTCTCAAGGCAGGTTAGGTTAGGTTAGGTTAGGTACTTCATGGGCTGCGGCCAGATGGCGGCGGCCAGTTGTCCTAGACCCACCTATATGGTAGTAGGAGAAACAGAAGAGTCCCTCCTGTGGCTACCTTTTGTGCCATTCCTATGTCCTGAAACCTAATTTTCAGCATAGATGGTAATTTAGTTTAACTACCTCCTCTACTTTGGCCCATTGGTTTCTTTGTTCCAGGTCTAATTTCAGTTGTTGTTCACTAGTGTCTTTTGTGATGGTCTTGTCCAGTCTTTTAACTACTACGGTCTTCCTGGCTCTTAGTTGTGGTGGGATTACGACTTCGAATCGCTGCTTCTTCAGATACTTTGGCGCTGTCGTTCGATAGCAGGTGTCAACGTCTTCTTCAGTCAGGTAGGCGCATAATTTGAATCCTTGGTGGTAAATGAGGCCTGTAATCTTGCAGCAGTGTTGCTCCGAGCAGTTCGGCGATTTTGTCTTTGGAAGTCCTGTATACGAGTCTGCCGGAAGAGAGCGGGGCTGCTGATTGGCTAAAGTGAAAGGCGGTAACTGGCCAATCATCACGCAGTCCAAAAGCTAAGTTTGGGCTGAGAAATTCGCCGAGGGGTCGGCTGGTCAGCGACAAAACGACAGTTGGCAGTTGTAGGACAAAGTAATACAAGGCCTTCATCGTCTTTAATTATGAAGCTACCGTTAGATGACAGGAGGGGGCTGCGCCATGAGTGATTGGACCATAAAATGTTTTAATGAAATTGAAAAATTAATGCATCTCGTGTTGATCTGAATGTTTTTGTATTTCACATGCATTATTATTAAGCCAATCATTCTTTAGATTGCGAAGTTCCCGCTGGGCTGCCACTTTCTTCTTGCGGAAGGTATCAGCTTTGGTCCGAGACTGAGGATTGTTTTTCTAATCAGTAAAAGCAGTACGTTTATCATTGATGAGTACTTTGATTGCCGGGTCATTTTCACCAAACCGGTCCTGGTGTATTCTTTTGATCTGGCCGAGGGTCTCTCTGCAGGGTTTTGTCATAACAGTGTTGAGAGTATCCCATTTAGCACTGGGATTCGCGTTGTTTGCTGTTGGGTCAGTGCCGGATTTAGACCTGTGGAGGCCCATGGGCAGCCTCTTTGTGGAGGCCCCCCCTCATTATAACTACCCAAGAGGGTGGGGTGGCGAGTGAAGCGAGCCTAAACATCTTGAGGTTCCGGGGGGCGCTGTAAGCCCCCCGGGAAAATGTTGAAATTTGAACACTTCTTTGGAGAATTTTGAAGCCATATACAATTATATTGAGGAAATTAGAACATTGAGAAATTTTTAATTAACTGTATAGTTATTGATAGTGTACAAATTCCCCAACACACACACACACACACACACACAAAAGTGAGACATGACTGGAGTCATTCATGTGGTTTCAAGTCGACCAGCCCTGATATAGCTACTACCGCACATGTCAAAAATTTTCAGAGACTTCACAAAAAGAATATATTATTAGTTATTACAAAGAGATGATTCTTTGCATTATTCATGAATTTCAAGGAGTAGCTAGCCTAATATCTATCACGCTTCTTGCTGAACATAGTTTTACTTGATGGAATAGATAAACATGAATTTTAAAGAATGAAAATAAAAATAATCCAAATGAATAAACAAACAAATAAAATATTGTAATATGTGGAGGCCCCCAGATTGTGGAGGCCCCTGGGCAGCTGCCCACTTTGTCCACTCCTGAATCCGGCCCTGTGTTGGGTTGTTTATATGCCCATATTCGAGCTGCTCGCTGAAAGTGTTACCGCTGGATCCTCCAGACGCTGAGTATTAAAACCTCTTCTGGAGGCTTGCTGCCTTCGCCGTTTTGGGGCGACGTGAAGGGAGAGCTTGGCTCTGACAAGTCGATGATCAGTGTCACATTGGTCTGAGCAACGCATGGCACGGGTGATGAGGACATCTTGGCGATCTCTTTCTCTGACAATGATGTAGTCAATGAGATGCCAGTGTTTGGATCGTGGGTGTTGCCACGAACCCTTGAACTTGCCGGCCTGCCAAAACAAGGTATTAGTGATAGTGAGGTTTTGTGCAGCACACTTGCTGAAGAGGAGTAGGCTGTTGGGATTATACTTCCCTAGTCCATTTCTCCCTATGGTTCCTTCAAATATTATCATCTCTGCCAGCTCTGGCATTGAAGTCGCCAAGGTGCACAATCTTGCCTTCTCTGGGGATAGAGGTTAGCACTCCGTCGAGGTCGACGGAAAATACCTCCTTGATGTCATCCTTTGCATCCAGTGTTTGCTCGTATGCACTGATAAAAAGGCAGGATGTGAGTGATTCAGTGTGACTCGAAGTGTCATGATGTGCTCATTGATCCCAATAAGCATTTCAGTTAGCCTGTGTAGGATGCGTTGGTGGATGGCAAAGCCAACTCCATAAATACGGTTTCTCTCCACAGCAGGCTTACCCTTTCTGTGAGTTGGCGCTCATCTGGGAGCCAGGACTCACTAATGGCTGCTATGTCGATGCTATACCAAGCCTGCTCTTTTGCCACAAGGGCAGTTCTTCTTTCAGGTCACTCATTTGTGCCAGTATCCAGTAGGGTCCTGACATTCCATGCAGCGGCCATAAGAGGTTGTATGGTTTGTTTTTGTTTGGATCTGTGATTTTGATTGTTTTCGGAAAATTAGGATGACCTTACTGGTTGCGGTTGCCCATTCAGGTTGGGTTTTAGTAGCAGGCTATGTTTAGGGCGCCCTTTCTAGCCTTCTCCCCATGTGGGGTGAGCGGTGAGCAGAGTGGTTCCTCGAAAGGGCTGCTCAGTCGCACAGACAGGACTGGATTGCACTGCTGCCTAGATCCCAGTGCATAAGCCACCATCTTATTTATGCCGCCCATGTGCAGAGTTGTGACTAGACTCCCGGCAGTCATCTCTGCCTATTCCTTTTCGCCACTCGTTTAAATTAGAGGCGTGAGGTTGGTGGGGGGTGCCTTCCTTGGCGGCATGAGGTTGGTCAGGGGGGTGGAGCCTTCCTTGGGCGTGAGATTGGTACAGGGGTGCCGACCTTGAAGGCCGAGGTAGATACAGGGTGCCGTCCTTGGAGGCGGGAGGTAGGTACAGAGAGGGGGGTGCTTTCCTTGGAGGCGTGAGGTTGGTACAAGGGGTGGGGGGTGAGGCCATGTGGAAAACATGTACAGTATATTGACATTATTTTGACTTTATTAGGAAAAGTTTGGGAATCAGTGGCATCAAGTAGATCACTTCAGCGTTGGTTAGTATATCACTGAACAAAGTTTTATCTTTATTGCATTAAGTGGCTCTTTTCATTTTCATATATGAAACGTCAGTACTGAATAAGACTAAGACGAAAGTAACATTGTAATGTTACGATACATCAGTGATCTAGACTAGAGCACCACCTACTCTCTAACACACCCACACCTCAGGGGTGTTTGGTGGCCAGTGGCGGGTAAAGGAGGAATACGTAAATATGAATAGTTGTGTGTGGTAGTGGAGGGAGGATGAGAACTCTCGACCCTGGAGTCAGCGGGAGACAAAACTGTGTACATATTACCTGTCGACTGTAGTACACTGAGACAGAGTCGGCAGACACTCATCGGCAGTCTATGCTTTGAACATCTTGGCCTTCGGGTTAAGTTGCCATTGGCCTCCAACCACAATATATTTTTCTTATGTTTCTAGGAGCTGATGATACAAACACTCGGCATATTAAACAAAATGAATAAATTTAATACACAATCATCACATGTCGACAGTGGCGTCCTCACTAACGTTTTGTTCGATAAACGGTCACTTATATAACCATAGGAGTCGTGGCGTAACTGGAAGTTGTATCCTGTATTTGGAACGGACACGGCAATGTAAGACAATGTTGAGTTGTAATAGTCAGTTGTTGACAGTACAGTGTAGATATATCATTAAATATACTTGAAGTTAACAACGTATGCTTAAGTTTCCGAGGCGTACTTATAGGTTATTATAATCAAGAATCTTATGAATGGTTTCACAAATCCCGTGATAGTTGGCAATTATTTTTAATTTGGTCTGTGGAACACTTTATCAAAATGGAAGATTTTTCTTATTTGCTCTTAAATTGTCGTAATTGACAAAGAGAAAAGTTTAGCTTGCCATGAGTTTCATACGAATGATTTGTATAGGTTGATCAATTAACCTTACCACGTAACCCTAAGTCAGCGCCAGCGGCAGGACTCAGACATTCTAGGTATATTCCCTGAAGATTCCCGTCCAATCTCCAGTTTATATTGCGGGCACCACGGCAGTGTTGTTAGTCTGTGTGCGAGAGTTAACACACACACGTACCGTCACATCTATACGCCTCCTCCAGTTCTCCGTCCTTGTCTTTGAACAACTGTGAGTACCACTAAAATAATATTACTTGCAGCAGAGAACGTCGTCACATTCATCACTTATTTTTCCTTTTCCTTGTGTTTCATTATTCTCGAGTCCTCGCCTAATAACAAGGACACTATACAAAATATATGTGTGCCACAGATGTACTGATCAACTGCCACTTTAAAACATTTTAATATTTAATATTCGACATTACACTGTAGACAACATCCAGACCCAGCATACAGTAACATGTTATCTAAAACAAATCATTAAACACGGAACTAAACTGGTATATCCTGTTCCTTTACTGGGCTGATTCGTAAAATTGCGGGAAAACTGTCTCGCTGACGTGCATTTTATGGAAATTTATAAGGAGACAGCGGCCGTATAGAAACAGCCATTATGTCTGTCTAAAGGGTAACTAACGCCCCTCTCGGGCACCTCCCCTTCTACCAAACCCACCCAACTGTGAATGGTTTGTAGAGGGGAAGGCGTAGTGCCAGCCACACTGAGAATACTATCCGCACTGCCCCTAACGAGCCATCAGACCTATAGAACCTACTCTCATGGCTAAGTTTATCAAGTAATTATCTATATCTACAGAAATATAAAAACTTATATTACGTCAGCCAGCAAGACGTAACACCTGATGTGCGGTACGTCAGCCTACTGAGCTCATATAGAAATATTACTTTAAATAAACATTTCTTAGTAGAGGCAATATTTTATTTAATTATCTAATCATTCAAAGTTCTGAGATTCTTTTTATGATTATAATGACTAAGGCACATTTCATATTCACCGCAAGTTATACAGGGGGTTCATAAAACATCTGAACGATTCGATTCTTTAATATTTTCCCTACCTATTAAGATATACAGCTAGAACCATGTGTAAACGATATAGCAACTATCAAGGTTTATTATTTATCGGTTTGTTTGATTACTGTCTGGTTGTACGTGAGGCCCACAATGAAATCTTTCCGAGTCGCTGGATTGGTTGTGATGGACCTAGCTCTTGGCCTCCAGGATCACCGGACATTACGCCATTGGATTTCTTCCTCTGGGGTTTTGTTAGGGTCGTTGTGTATAGGACCAAGGTTGCCAACATCCATGAACTATGAAACAGGGTCAGGGATGCAGTAGCAATGGTTGATGCTGGCATGCTTGAACGCACAAGGCGAGAAATTGAATATCGATTGGATGTACGGACGACCAGTGGCGCACATGTTGAAGTGTATTAAAATTAAACATGTATAAAAAACTTTAATAGTTGTTCTGTGCTTACACATAAGTTTAGCTATGAATAAGTATAGAAAATGATGAAGAATAAAATCGTTCAGATCCTGTATGAACACCCTGTATTTCATACCAGTCAATCACAGTCGTCGTTCGTTCGTGTATATGTTGTCAATATATCAACAATATGTATCCAGCTCAACTGTATAATGGTGTTGGATATTAACTATTATCCTCAGACGAGAACAGGTGTGTGTGTGTGTGTGTAGTGAGTAATACTTAGCTTTGAAAAATATTATTGTTAGAAAGACGTCAGCAATGTTTATAGTGATATATTTTGGGTTCAAACCCAAGTGCTATATATATAATGCCCAGTTCCCACTCTGTAAAAGAGAAGGTGACAGAAGACATACAAGCAGAGCCGTAGATAGAGTTCGGCCAACCGGGCGCCATGTTGTTACTCAGCTGGTAGGAAGCCTTCACGGCTGTCTTCCACATAGTTTATAAACATGCTTATCCAATTGTAATGTTTGAAAATAATACTTAACAAAGTTCATCATCATCATTCTCTACAGTACGAGCACAAACTTCATCAGCTGAGTAACAACATGGTTAACGCACGTAACCGAGTTGACCGAACTCTATCTTCGGCTCTGCATACAGCCTCAAATCTTGCTATTAGGTAATTATGGTTAACTCACACAAGCCAAAATAAATGGCCGTAAAACATTATGACGGCAGTGTGTCAAATATTGTCAGACGTTAAGTTTAGATCGCAGACTGACTGATGAGGTTAATGACTTTGTTTTTATTACCCATTAAGCTGCTCTGGTATATTGTTAAGATTATGAAGAATAATTTATAAATATTATATTTATAAATTATTCTTCATATCATTTCATAAAACAACACAGGAGGCTGATGCAAGGGATCGGGTACGAAAAATGAGTGTTTCAGTCGTCCTTCACCACTACCGCCGCCTCCCTCACGCTACCGCCGCCTTCCCCACACCACACACCATAGCCTCCCTCACACTACCACCTCCCCACACCTCCCTCACCACACACCGCCTCCCTCACTACCACCTCCTCCCCCACACCACACACCATAGCCTCCCTCACACTACCACCTCCCCACACCACAGCCTCCCTCACACTACCACCGCCTCCCCCACACCACATACTACAGCCTCCCTCACACTACCACCGCCTCCCTCACACCACACACCATAGCCTCCTCACACTACCACCTCCCCCCACACACCACCCTCCTCACACCACACACATAGCCTCCCTCACACCACACTACTACAGCCTCCCTCACACTACCACCGCCTCCTCCACACTACCACTGCCTCCCCCACACTACCGCCTCCCCCACACCACATACCTACAGCCTCCCTTACACCACCTCCTCCCCACACACCACACACTACAGCCTCCCTCCACACACTACCACCGCCTCCCCACACCACACACTACAGCCTCCTCCACTACCACCGCCTCCCCCACACCACACACTACAGCCTCCCTCCACACTACCACCGCCTCCCCACACTACCACCGCCTCCCCCACACTACCGCCGCCTCCCTCACCACACACCAGCCTCCTCACACTACCACCTCCTCCCCCACCACACACTACAGCCTTCCTCACACTGCCGCCTCCCCCACACCATACTACCGCCTCCCCCACACCACCGCCTCCCCACACTACCACTCCGCCTCCCCTCCCACCCACCCACACACTACAGCCTCCTCACACTACCACCTCCTCCCCACCACACCACAGCCTCCCTCACACCACCACCCCTCCTCCCCCACCACCTACAGCCTTCCCTCCACACTGCCTCCCCCCACACCACACACACTACAGCCTCCCTCACACTACCACCTCCTCCCCACCCCTACAGCCTCCCTCCACACCACCCCCCCCACCACACGCCTCCCCTCACACCACCTCCTCCCCACACCACCCGGCCTCCCTCACCACCTCCTCCCCACACCACCAGCCTCCCTCACACTACCTCCTCCCCACACCACACACCAGCCTCCCTCACACTACCACCTCCCCCCACACACACACAGCCTCCCTCCACACTACCACCGCCTCCCCCACACCACACACCAGCCTCCTCACACTACCACCTCCTCCCCACACACACACAGCCTCCCTCACACTACCACCGCCTCCCCACACCACACACTACAGCCTCCTCACACACCTCCTCCCCACACAGCCTCCCCTCACACACCACCACCTCCCTCCTCCCCCTGTCCTCCCACCCTCCCCCCACACCATACTGCCTCCCCACACACCACACCTCCCCCACACCTCCACACCACGCCTCCCCCACACCCACACAGCCTCCCACACACACCCCCACACACCACCCCTCCCACACACCACCACCTCCCCACACACTACCTGTCCTCACACCACACACTACCGCCTCCCACACCACCACCTCCCCCACCACCACCGCCTCCCACCACACACCACCGCCTCCCTCACACCACACCACCACCTCCCCCCACACCACCTCCCCACCACACACAACCCCCTCCCCTGCCTCCCTCACACCCTGCTTCCCCCCACACCACCGCCTCCCCACACCCTGCCTCCCCCACACCACCCGCTACTGTTTTGGTAAAGATATGAAAACAAACGACAGTGACGATACCACAGGTGTGATGATACACCATTTTACATTAAAACTTCTAACATTTTACGAACTAAGGAAATAGGTTTTATATGTCCTGGTCATGTATTAAAGATCACAGTTACATTTGACTTCCGTTGTGAGGATATTAGGTTATAAATTATTTCATGAACGTTGTAACAGCCATATATCATAAACGTTTAAATACCCCTATATGTCTCATAAACGTTGAAACAGCCGTATCTTCATGTTTGAGCTGCCATATCTCATAAGGTTCAGGGGTCCTTAAGAGTGAGTGTGTAAGTTATGGCATCATCAGAAACACGCCTTGACCTACTGTAACACAACACATCATTCAAGTTCCTTCTCTGTGAGGAAGACAGTCAAGACTTGGGAACTTCAGTAGGAGGCGATACCTTACATAATTCTTGAATTACGTTATAAAAAAAACTTGACTTTGTCTTACGTAATCTCCCGTCACTGCGGTACATGTCGGCAGAGTTAAGGATGGCCAAGTGCGCATGTGTCATAACACACTGTACGTACATTATTAGACGCATTACAGCACCACGGTAGATTTGTATAGATAAGTGTGTTTCTGGGACTTGGCATTTTGACCTTTAAATTAAATTAATTTTACCAAGGCACTTAATCTCTTTGTAATTTCATAATGTTTTGTTACAGTAAATAAATAAAAAAAAAAGAAAAAAGTGCACAGCTAATAGATAAGGTTCTCAGGCCCCATGGGTCGTGGCCCTCACTATGGACCTCGAGGAAGATCATTTAGCCATAAGTGATAGAACTCTCCAGTATAATGTATAAACACATAAAATATACAGAAATATCAACTTGCAACTTAGTGAATGTGTTTTATGGCGACCCGTGTAGTGTCACAGAGGGAGACGAAAGAAGCCTTCCTTACTAGCAATACCCGTAACATATCTCACTAGACAATATTACCATTAATCATATCATTGTAAACAAAAACACAGTTACCAGCGCTGGCGACGCCGGAAAAGTGATGTCTCAGCTGTCTTGTGAGAATCCATCATGAACTACTGTAGAGTAACCAATGTCTAGCCCACAGTGGAGCGGCGGAGGAGGGTAGTATTGTTTAT